AGCTAGCAAATCTCTTCAAAAGTAGTAGAGAGAATCCTCTTAATGAGAGTAGAAAAAAAGAGTCAAAGTTCTGAAGAGTGGCCAGAAAGCAGCAAAAAGCAAGGACAGAGACTGTACGAGAAGAAGGAAAAAAGCCTAGACTGTGCATCATTAAACTTGTACTCTAGTTAAGAAAAAGAAGAAGAAGAAGAAGCAGAAGAAAGCTCTTAATTGAGACTGCTGCCCTTTCGCCACGGGGAAATTGCTCAATTAAGCGTTCNAAAAACCGTAGACTGTGCATCATTAAACTTGTACTCTAGTTAAGAAGAAGAAGAAAAAGCAGCAGAAGAAAGCTCTTAATTGAGACTGCTGCCCTTTCGCCACGGGGAAATTGCTCAATTAAGCGTTCCATCCACTACTACCACCACTTTGAGCCTACTAATTAATTGTCCATCATCAACTAAACTAAACTAAAAACATTGAATGAAGTTCTCTACCATCGATCCGACTGGCTCTAATGACCTGAATTCTAAAAACTTCCAAAAGACACACACACTTACCGTGGCAGCACAGTCGTGGACGTACGCCTCATAGGCGGTGATCACCTTGCCCAGGTACTCCTCATCAGTGGCCTCCGCCGGGTGCGGCCTGATCAGCCCGTAGGTGAGCACCTCCCAGAGGGTGACGCCGTAGGAGTAGACGTCACTCTTGGTGGAGTAGGCGCCGTTGAGGAGGGCCTCAGGGGCCGCCCAGCGAATGGCCACGCCGTTGCAGTAGTCAGGGGCGTTGCCGGCCACCAGCGCCGCAATGTCGGTGATCTTCACCTGCAGACTGGCGGTGTAGATGATGCAGTTGCGGGCGGCCAGGTCGCGGTGCACGTAACCGAGCGTCTCCAGGTACTTCATGCCGGCGGCCACCTCGGCGCCAATATGCAGCAGGGTGGGCAGTCTATGATGGGGAGAGAGAGAAAGAGAAGAAAAAGATTAAAATATTGAAAACATTTCCAAGAAAAAACCCCCAAAATTTCTCAAAAGCAAGCAAGAGCATTTCAATGCACTCAAAAGCAATAAAAAGTACTGTTTTGCACTGTTTAACAATTCTCCAGATCCTGATTCTGATGATGATGATGACACTGAAGCGGAGTAGATAGGCAAAGAAGTGATGAAATGGAAGAGAAGAGAGAATTTTCCACAAAAGCAGGAAAAGCAGATAAATCATTGATGCGTAAGTGAATTAATGCTGCTGCTACTGCGATTCACTGCTCAAGTTGCCCACCAAAACCACCACTAAAGTGAAAAGTGAGCCCGGGCGTCAAGAGAAGGCACAGTTCTTAGACAGTGTGTGGCCTGACAGAGTTGTCATCACAATGAAAATGATGATGGTGGTGCTGATCGTCTCCTGGTGACAAGGTCCTGGAGAAATAGTGTGTGTGAGTGTGTGTGGTCAGAGGAGCCATCATCACCACCACCACCATCGCACATAAATCTAACGCCTCGTTAGGATTCTTTCTCTCTCTCAATTCTCGGGCGCCTGGTGACGCCGAGAATCGCATTGAAAATCAGCCAAGCTGAGATTTATTGGCCATTGCAGTGCATTGTTGTGCTGCAGCGCTAAACTATGTTTGCCAGTGCCACACCACACCACCACAACAACCGCAGCCTCTCTGTGTGGATCTCAATCTCTCACTCAAACTCAAATTGTTCTTTGATTGGCCTTCTTTCTGGGCTCCCCTTCTTGAGCTATTTTTCACTCCATTCCTCTTCCTCCTTCTATCGACCGATCCGAGTTCACTCTGGAATTGCTATTCTCCATTTTTTTGTTTGATCGTTCTGCTGCTCAAAATTCTTCAACTGCAGAGTCGAAAAAATAATAAGTGTGTAATATAATTAATAGCTACTAGAGGAGAAGAAAGCTGAAAGGGAGGGCTGGAGTACCAGAAAAACCAGAAAAAATTAGTCCTGCAATGCAATTTACTACTACCACCACCAGCACTACACTAGGCTAATGCAGCGGCATTCATTAAGCAGCAGCCGAGCAGTACACTCAATCGCCGTCAAATTCTCTCATTGTGAACTGGACTTGAGAGCTGCCTTGTCTTTGATTGATCTGCCGGGCTAGAGAGAGAGCGAGAGACCAAACAGGAAACATTACCAACAAGAGAGGGAAAAGAGGACTGATTTGTAGTTGCTGTTTTGTTGTTGTTGTTGACGTGGACAGTACCAACACAACGACTAGATGAAAAACAGAATCATAAAAAAATTCTGCGACTTTACAGAGCGGCTCACTCGATCAATGCTGAGAGAAAAGAGAAAGAGGAGAATCGGGCGCCGTCGCCGCTGTCTTTCTCAGAGAATAAGCAAAAAAAGAGCAAAAAGAATCGAGCGTATAAAACAGAAGCAAGCAAAAATCTAAAAAGAAGCATTGAGTGCTTTCGGTCATTCAAATGTTCGGCTACGCTTTGCTTTGAGGTTTGCTTTCAACAAAAAAAAATAAATCCCATCACTTACCCAACGACCTTCTTATCACAAGTGCGAAGGTAGTGCGCCAGATCACAGTTGCCGCACTCGAGGACCATGGCCATGCTTTTGGGGGCGCTCTGCTGGCCACCACCACCACCACCAACGGAGAGGTAGCCGATGAGCTTCGCCACCCGCTCACTCTTGGCGCTGATGAACCACTTGGACTTCATCTCGTGGAGAAACTCCGGTCGCAGCTTCTCCTTCTCCAGCGTCTTCAGCACCACCAGCGTCTCATCGGTTCCGGAGCAAGCCGAAGAGGAGCTCTTATCTCTGCTGTCGTTTCCGCACTCCGTTTCCGACGATGACACCTCATTACCGGTGCGATGGTTCCAGGATCGGTTGTGGTTGTGGTGGTGATGATTTTGACGGTGATGATTGTCGTCCTTAAAGCGCGCGAGGAGGACCTCACCGTAGCGCGAGGCGCCAAAGCCGGCCCCCCGGAGCACCTCCACGTCGGCCTCTGACACCTCGGGAATGCACTTCATCGTCTCGTCCATGCTCAGGCTCAGGCTCATGTTTGAATGGCCGCCTTCAGTAACTGGCGCGTTGTTGTGGTACTTCAGCTTCAGCGTGGTGGCCGGCGCAGTGCCGCCCGTGAAAGCGTCGCCCTCGTACTGCTTCCGTTTGCTGG